TAATAAGGCAAGAAGCAGGGGCGCTGCAATGAGCAAGGCGCAATGGTCGTCGTGCCCTCCCAAATTAGTATTCCTTCGATTGGCTTTGAAGCTATCCTGACGAATCCACTATCACAGGGTACTCTACTCGGCTATGTCGATAATAAAACTGAAATCGCCCTATTCTCTTGCGATGGAAGAGTGTATGAGAAAAAAGGTGGCGACTCCGCCCAACATGTAAATGTTATTATGAGGATCCAATTGGTGGACCACACATTGTGATGTTCAAAAAAAAACATGCAAGTTGCTCCACCTCCTCCTGGACCACCACCGCCGAGGTACTTTCTCTAGCAGCGACCGCAATTCAGCAATCTTTGGAAATTCTATTTATACGGTTACGACTGACAAATGGATTCTATTTGTAGGGTTATGATTGATGAGTGGATGGATCTGCGTGCAGGCGATCCGTGGCCGGACAGAATTCTCGTGAAAGCCCTTGATAAGACACTGGACACAATCCCTGGAGAAAACCCAGACCAGTATGGATTGGCTTTGGGTACGCTGGAGAGACCTGTTATGTGCGTTTATGAGTAATAAAGGTGGCAAAGGTAAGGAAATCAGCATTTCAGTCTTGCCTTGGGCGGGAACGAATCTTTATAGAAATACTACCGCCCATCCGCTTATCGAGCACTCTCGTGTTGATGGTGTGTCTGTCCATCGGCAAAGCGACCTGTTTGCAAAATTGGGTAACCCATCGGTCTTGGTGTTTTGATTCAGTGGAATGTTGTGATTATGATAAACCTATTTGTGTACCAGTCATCACAGTTATTGCTGCTCTACCGAAGGGAGAGGTCGCACATGGTGGTGAGGTTGTGCAGAGGGCCCAGTATACGCTGCAAAAAGGAAGCGCCATAGCTATCAATTTGTTTTGGTAGCAGAAGCGTCATCTGGTGATGAGCAAGAGTCCAGACTGCAGCATGGTTTCCGCAGACTATGTGCCGGTGAGGATATAGCAAGTTCCGCGAACACGTCGCTCTTTCACTGAGAGTTTATCATGAGTAGGACTACAGTGCTCACGTTCATGACTTGCTATCTGCGAGTGTCTGTATTTACCGAGCTTCTTTAGTGTGAGCGTTTACGCTGCATCCATCACTTATAGATCAGGCCGCTTCGCCAGCTTGTACATGTTGAAATGGATCCCATATGCGCTTAGGAGTGCAGCGCTCGCAGTAAACGCTCGCTCGCGTGATCTTCACCTTGAATCTCCATCGTTCTTCAAGAAGTGGTCTTGTTTATGCCACGTGCGGTGAACTGTTCCACTTCCCCGTTCCTAGCTAGCTTACCTCAGGTCGGTCTTTCCATAGAATAGGGAAGGAATCTCCACAATGAAGGAGTTGGCGGCCTTCTGCTTTGTCGAACCTATCCTTGTACAGAATCCACTCGTACCAGAATCCTTGTGTGTTGTGATCTCCTGAGTATTGAAGTACCTGTAAAGGGTATTCGAAGTGAAAAGGTTAAACAATTGAGTAATGCGATTTCCAGCCAACCCACTTGAATATTTCCCTCCAGTTGTTGTGCAGTCCTAAGTTCAGCTTTCTTATAAGGGAATGAGCACTCGACGACTCCTCCATTGTTCCATGATCGGCCGTGAATTGGTTTTCCATGTTTGTACCATAGCGCAACATACATATTTTGCTCTCCCAGGCACTGCAACGGAGTTTTATTGGATGTCGTCTTTCATATGGCTGAAAAACTTTAGCTTGCCTTAACAGGGTTCGGCGGGAACGGGCTTCCAACTTTCTGGAACGCCCATGTGTCTTCCTTCGGGGGTGGATTCGGCATAGCTTGTAAAACGTACGAAGATTGATTGACTCACTGACCGAAACTGACCATTCTTCCTACTTCAGCTGTCTCTAATACCAGTCCTTATCACTATTATTTGTCTTAAGAGGTTGTCAACAATTTTAAGTAAGTGGACTTCGCTGAGTTGGTTGGTGAGCACTGTCATCATTAGAACCTCCTTGTTATATTCACCACGTGTTACTCATCGCTCTTGCAGATTTGT